TCACGGACGAAACAGAAATTCATTTGAAGAAGCACTCGCCGTTGTCGCATAGGTATTCAAGAGCCTACGTTTCATGAACAGGCACTGGCTAGCCGGGTTGTTGATGGATTCCCATCGCCAACTGAATGGACAAAGAGTTAGGGGAAAGAACAAGAAAACAAATCCTGGGAGGAGGCTGGGAGTTCGGTCCGGTGGATCCACGAGGCTTTCCTAAACGAAGCGAGAGTATGAGATGTCATTATGATTCACGCTCATCGATTTGCAGTAGGTTTTCGACTCTTTCGAGACAAAAGCCGTTTTTAAAATTTTAATAAATCAGAGTACTTCCACTCATTACTTAGAGATACTTTGTGACATCCGTAGCCACGCACCACTTAAACCATATTTTCTGTGCCATTTTAAAGAACATTGCGTGCCAACTGTAAGAGGAATAAATGGGAACGCAACTGGGCAATTAACACGATATTACAGCTGTCTCGGAAACATCGCACTCATGGTATTAGAAAACGAGTAAGTAGAGCAAAAGTGGGTAACGTCAGCTGCACTGTCGTAAGGCAGGGCTACAGATAATTTTGACGACCCCAAGAGGATCCCATCCCTGATTCGGCCCTATTTGCGAGGAATCAAGACACATTACTACATTTTTCATTAGGTGTAAGGCCGCTGTAGTGCAAAGTGGAGCACTATAACACGCAAAGGCCCAGTTTTGATGTTGCCCTAGTGCGAATAAGCCTTCCATCGCTGCGGGGTCGACTAACTGCTACCAGTATCGTCTGGAAGTATAAACGCACTGAGTTATCGACTGAAAGGCAAATGTTTGAGGCATGACGAAATTTATTAATGCCGAATGATTTTAAAGACTTCATATTATTACTATAAGAAGGCTGAAGTGGGGCACGACGAAACGAAGTGGGCCATCTGAGAAGATTCAAAAAAGACACGAAAGAGCTGGTCAGCACTCATAGCGTCGATTCTCTGAGGCCTACCTTGTGCTATTCCTCAGACGACTGAAATCTGCTTAAGCAGGATAAGCATAAGGGCATTTTTATTATCCCAAGCGCTGTGAAAAGGATAAGGGTTGAGGTTGCTCACATCGCGTGCCTAAAGAGCAGAGTCACAAGTTGTGAACTTGTACTTCTGGAGCTACATATTTCAGACCAGTCATCTGGCTATTTTGTTTACGTACTACTGCATTTGAAAGTAGTAGCATGAAAGATTACTGATGATTGTGATGATTTATTATCGGTTTCTCTGGTACATATTTTAACTCTCCGTCAAATGAAGACTAAGCCCACACAACAGAAGTGACAATATGAAGAAGGGACTAGATATATAACCCACTCGGGAAGTGGTCTCAAAAGTGTTGGCTTAACCGAGCAAGAATAAGGGTAAGTATGTATACTAGTAATGTTAGGCGAATACAAAGGGTTCAGGCCAGAGACACACCAAATCCACGAAGGCTGCTGACCAGTTGTACGAGTTTATCGCAAAATCTTCCCACGAACAACATGAAGAAAATCATTGAAAGAACGAAAGCCCGTTGAAATGCCCCGATTGGCACCAAGACGACTGGTAGCTTTAATAGCGTCTGCCGGGTTGTCCGGTAATCAACGGCACGATGGCTGATGGAAGCGATGGAAGCAATTGTTGAGCACAAGCCATTAAACATCTTATGCACGTTTTGAATAATGTCGTTCGGATACCCTGATACACCCTTCTACCAATTTGAGAATATTATGCCGGATAGCGCGAATAAAATCTCTCAAACACCAGAAAGCTATTCGGTGGTCAGGTAGCTTCGCAAGAATTTGTCCTGGTTCGCTGGGTATGTTCAAGAGAGATATAAGGGAAATCTCCCGTTATATACAGCTAGGTTTCAAACATGCTTTGCAAAATGAGTTGTGGAACACCTAAGGAACACCTAACACCTAGGCTGAGGCTTTCTCAAGCTTTTCAAGTTTAAGCGCTTAAGCATAAGAGTTTCTTGCAAAAATTCTCGGATTTTCTTGGTCAAACACATAGAAAACTGTAAAGTCAAGCTTATCCCTCGTACAATACTTGTTTGTTTTTTACTGCCAATCGACTCCCCCTTTCTACTGCGTTTACCACCGTTCATTACGAAAGTTAGAAAGCGAGAAGAAATTGTACTTCCCAGTAATGAATGTCCTTGTAATAGTTTAATACACAATCAAAAACCCTTGTCAGGATTGAATCTAGAGCAGCTTTGACTACGCACTGATTCTGTGAATCCTGGACGGGTGCCACGGGGGGCGTCCGTTGCACGCGCCTGTCGAAAGTAAGTCACCCCGCCCAGTTCGCGCGAGGTGCACCCCACTGAGGTCTCGAGATGACATTACAGTAAAACCGAGTGTCAGTGGAGCGAATGATTTGTATTTGCCCGTGTTATCTTCTCTTTGGTTGACTGCCGTGGACCAAGTCGAATGTCCCAGTGACAACTGCGACGTTCGTCAAGTATCGCGGACTAATCCGCCACGTGCGACGGCTGCGGTGTGACCTAGTTTCGACGGACGCGCGCAACGACGCGCACCCGAGGTCCCATATTTTATAAACATGTGCCTTGAGAACGGAAGGAAGTGTGAACGTAACTTTTTTACTGTTCCGGACATTCGCTTCGCTTTGTTCTCAAATATATGTCAAAACGGACGAACACCCCCAGCAATAAAGAGCGAAAAGGTGAAGGGCGAAGCTATTCTGAGTTCACTCTACTATTACCTTGTGCTCGTACTTGTCCCCAGTCCTGGACGGACGAGAAAGTAATGAGGCTAATGTGATTACAAGAAGCTGAAAATCTCCTGTCTCTCTCCAGCTCAGATTCTGAAGCACTTGAATGAGCCTCCAGAACAGACCTTGCGATTTCAAATTCCCACCAAAAAGTAGACAATCTTTCAAAAGTGCAAAATTTCTGAAAAAACCTGAAGTACTAGAAAACTCAACAAACCCTAAATATTTTCAGATTTATTTGAGTAGTATAACAATCATAAGTGGAAGTTTAACTTGTTGAGCACTAAACTAGGCAAGCGTTTGCGCACGTTTTGATTTTTGTAATACAGAAATACGCTGGTGTAAAGGGAGTACTGCTGAGGAGTGCAGAATTTGCCAAAGAAATAAATAGGGGCATAAATTGAATTCAAAGGAGTTATTGTTTGTATGAATAATAAACTGTAAATCCAGCCTTCTTGTAGAGTACTTTAAATAAATGAACGGCACTTTGCTTATGAACGGCAGGAAATGCCGTAAAGTCAAATTTCTTGAAGCTGCACTTGAACTCATCCACGAGTCAGCAGACGGCCGTGGCCCGAAACGTTGGGCTTTGGGTTCTTGAGGTTTCCTACTCAAAAAGAGCTTGAACGTCAACTTTGGAACAAATGGCCTTCTGGTGTCAGATGAAGTTGATCGCTCCTGACCGTCTACCGCCAGTCCAACGGCCATGAAGGCAAAATAGCGCAAGGTAGGGTTTGTCCCAGCAGACAGCCAAGCACAGCAGGGGTAGCTCGACTACATTTACTGTTCGTGATTCGAATACCGGCCAAAATTACGAAAATCAGGTTTTGTCCTTTCCAACGTCGTTTACTTAAGGCCCTGTGCTGGCTAGCTCGACACTAAATAATACAGGTATTGTGACTTGTGAAGATTACTACATTAATCCATTCGAAATGTCGATGCATGGCTGAGAGACAGTAGCGACAGGGATAAACAGCCTTTTTTCCGAGTGACGATAGAGAGGGAAAGGCATCAAAGACCCTTCTAGGAATTCTGCGGAAATTCCGTAGACAATACACTTCCTTTCACGGTTTAACCTTATTTGAATGCGCACATATCTGGGTGCTAAGTGGGTTGGGGGGGGGGGGGGGGGGCCCGCG